GCGCATGGCGCAGCGCGGTGGGGACCCCGCCGAAACTACGACCGAACGGCGCGCAGCCAGCGACGGGAAAACTACAGACAAAGCGCATTGCCGCCTGATTGAAACTTCGCCGGAACTACAGACAAATTACACGGAGCCAACGACGGACAAACTACAAACAATGCACATTGACGTTCGGCTGTAACTTCATTGAACCTGCAACCAAACTACCCGCGACCAACGACGGCAAACTGCTGGCCTCCGCACAAACATCGCGTTGCCATGTGTCGCGGCGCGCGGGATTTCCCTGCGCGCGGCCACTCGCCCCGGGCGCATGCGCGCGCTCGCCGCGATCACTCGCCCCAGTTCTTGTAGAACTCAACTTTCTTCTTCGCTGCCAGTGCGCTTGCCGTGGCAGACGCCTCGGCCCCCCCCTGCCCCGCAGCCGTCGACCTCGTCCTCCCGGCGCGCCAAGCGCGGCGGCGCTCTAACTTCCACGCGCCCGCCAAACCCTCGCGGCCCTCGAGCCCTCGAGGGGGCTGAGCGCGCGCGCGGGGGCCGAGATAGATGCGTTAAGGCGCAGCGCGAGCAATGCACGCCGCGGCGGCGCAACCTGCCACGCGCCCAGAAAACCAGCGCAACACTGCGCATCATGAGAAGCAGGATGCCACGCTGCCGATGTCCTCCCCCCAGGCATCGCGGCAGCCTTCGATTTGGCGTTCGCCTTCCCCTCCGCAGCCCTGTTGCCCTTTTCCTCTGTCCATCCCCTTGGCCCTGCCTTTGGCTGCCCCATCGGCCCGTCTCCTGGCCCTCCTCGGATTCCCCCTCCTTCCAAGTGGGATCGGCGACCCTGGGCGTCTCAGTCGAACGCTTCTGGCCGAAACTACCAACTGGGACTGATGACCCGCCCCGCGCCGACGCGAACAGATCGAAGCCGGAAGAATTCCTCGAGCGACGAGGCAACGGAGCGCCCATCCTCGATAGCCAATCTAAGCGCCCCCCCCCCGGCGGCGACGGCGGTGGGCAAGGGCCCAATTCGACGACGTGTAATATCATCTCAATGCGACCCCTGCCGGCGGGCGTCGACCGGGCGGCGACGCGCGCTGCAGCGCGCGCCCCTGCGTCGCAGCGCAACTCACTGGCCCCCTGCCCCCGCGCAGCCCTCTAAGATTGTGCTGGCGAGTGCGCCCCCCCAAACGCCCCTCACTTCCCCGCCCCCCCCCCCCCCCCCCCCCGCGGGCCCCCGCGGCACTGGTGGGCGGCGCGGGTTGCAGCGATGGGCCCCGGCCACCTGCTGCTCGATCAGCCTGGATTTCTTCGCGCGACCTTTCGTCTCCCTGAATTGCCTCGCCAGCTGCCTGGGCAGCGCGCCGCGGGGTGCGCCGCGGGGCAGGGGGCGCCGCGGGCTGCGCGGGCGGGGGGGGCCTGCGCCATCGATGGAAGATACATTCACGAACGGAGAAGACCGAAGATGCACGGAACGCGCGACTCTGCAATCGATCGCACGCAAAATCACGAAGATACACCAAATAAGAACATGGGATAACCGAACAAACACGCACGCGGCGCCTGATACCACGCAACGTCGCGGGAGACATGTTCGCCCGTGACCTCTATGAAATTCAGCCAGTCCTGCAGCTGCGCTTCGGCATAGCCGTCGTCGCCAGTCGCTCTCGTCTTCGTCGCCGTCGCCCGTGGCGATCGTAGTCGTCGCATTATGCCGCCGCTCCTCGTCGCCCGTCGTCGCCGTCCGCCTTTTTTCGCCTGCCATGTCCGTCATCGTCGATTTCGTCGTTGCTGCCCTGATCTCCCGTTGGCCCGCCCTGGCCCCCCTTCGCCCCCTCCCCCCCGCCCCCGCCCCCCGCGCGCGCGGCGGCCGCAGCGCGCCATCGTGAAACATCAAGATGAGAACAAATTATGCTAACGGAGTTCCCCACATAATGATGTTTTTGGGCTAGCGGGATCAAGCAACATTTTGTAGAGAAATTGCCGACCTGCCCTCGCCCCTGCCCTGCCCTCGCCCCCTGGAGGGGTGGGAGGGGCACGAAACCTGATAAATAACAGGTGATTCGAATACCCTCCTCGCTCAGGCGGGGCCTCCCTGGAGGGGTGGGAGGGGCACGAAACCTGATAAATAACAGGTGATGCGAATACCCTCCTCGCTCAGGCGGGGCCTCCCTGGAGGGGTGGGAGGGCGCGAAACCTGAGAAAGAACAGGTGATGCGAATACCCTCCTCGCTCAGGCGGGGCCTCCCTGGAGGGGTGGGAGGGGCACGAAACCTGAGAAATAACAGGTGATGCGAATACCCTCCTCGCTCAGGCGGGGCCTCCCTGGAGGGGTGGGAGGGGCACGAAACCTGATAAATAACAGGTGATGCGAATACCCTCCTCGCTCAGGCGGGGCCTCCCTGGAGGGGTGGGAGGGGCACGAAACCTGATAAATAACAGGTGATGCGAATACCCTCCTCGCTCAGGCGGGGCCTCCCTGGAGGGGTGGGAGGGGCACGAAACCTGATAAATAACAGGTGATGCGAATACCCTCCTCGCTCAGGCGGGGCCTCCCTGGAGGGGTGGGAGGGGCACGAAACCTGATAAATAACAGGTGATGCGAATACCCTCCTCGCTCAGGCGGGGCCTCCCTGGAGGGGTGGGAGGGGCGAAACCTGAAACCTGGCTCAGGCGGGGCCTCCCTGGAGGGGTGGGAGGGGCACGAAACCTGAACAGGTGATGCGAATACCCTCCTCGCTCAGGCGGGGCCTCCCTGGAGGGGTGGGAGGGGCACGAAACCTCCGATACCCTCCTCGCTCAGGCGGGGCCTCCCTGGAGGGGTGGGAGGGGCACGAAACCATGTAAATAGTATGGTATTCCGATACCCTCCTCGCTCAGGCGGGGCCTCCCTGGAGGGGTGGGAGGGGCACGAAACCATGTAAATAGTATGGTATTCCGATACCCTCCTCGCTCAGGCGGGGCCTCCCTGGAGGGGTGGGAGGGGCACGAAACCTGTAAATAACATGGTATTCCGAATACCCTCCTCGCTCAGGCGGGGCCTCCCTGGAGGGGTGGGAGGGGCACGAAACCTGTAAATAACATGGTGATGCGAATACCCTCCTCGCTCAGGCGGGGCCTCCCTGGAGGGGTGGGAGGGGCACGAAACCTGATAAATAACAGGTGATGCGAATACCCTCCTCGCTCAGGCGGGGCCTCCCTGGAGGGGTGGGAGGGGCACGAAACCTGATAAATAACAGGTGATGCGAATACCCTCCTCGCTCAGGCGGGGCCTCCCTGGAGGGTTTTCGAATAGCGTCCTCCGGGAGGGGTGGGAGGGGCACGGAGGGGGTTGCTGTTCTGTTATGTTCGTGGTTTGGTATGGTATTGGTATGGTATGGTATTGGTATGGTATGGCTTGGTACGGCTTGGGATGTTATTGGTTTGGTATGGTATGGTATGGTATGGTATTGGTATGGTATGGTATGGTATTGATATGGTATGGCTTGGTATGGCGTGGTATGGTATTGGTATGGTAAGGTATTGGTATGGTATGGCTTGGTATGGTATGGTTTAGGAGAAGGACGCGGGAGGAGGAGGAGAAGGAGAGGGTGTTCTGGGAAAACAAGAACCCCACTCAGGATGTGGGGAAAAAAACAGCATCGAACTCCCATTGCTTGCCCGCCCCAGTGCTGCGCGTCGCCCCCCGCGGCCGCGCCTGGTTGATGGCCGCGTCGGGCTGCAGAACGGCCTGCCCATGGCGGTCTCGGCGCAGCAGGCCATTGATCTGGTCGGGGGCCGCCATGGAGGTTGCATTGTCCCTGGCGTCGCTGGCGTCGAAGTGCGCGAGGCGCCCAGCGGGAATTACACGCGCGAGGGCAACGTCATATGCAACATGCACAAAGTGCAGCGATGCAGAAAATCAAGATACATAACTACAAACATCAGAATATAAACATCGACCGCCTGAGAGTGCGCCAGAAGTGGTTCACAGGGGGGGAAATAGAAGAGTACGCAGTGGAAGCAGCACGATGCACTTACGGTGGGAATGCAGACGATGTATCTTGTTTACAAGGAACACAAATATAGTAACCAAGAAGAGATATCTCCGCGCACGCGGCGCCCATCCGCTCCTCGCAGAGGAAGCGGATGACCACCTGATAGTCCGCGGCCGTGACGTCGGCGCGGGCGCGCGAGCGATTGCGGCGTACCTGGAAGGACGCCTGCATGGGTATGGCGTCCAGGGCAGGGGGCGTGGCGGGCGCGCTCGACCCAGCACATGAGATGATACATGCGCGCGGTATCTTGCAATATACAAGATGACAACGGGCGACGACGACAGCCGAAAACGACTACGACGACGACGACGACCACGGCGACGGGCGACGACGACGACGAGACGCACCGAAGGCGACGACGAAGGACGACGACGACGGGCGACGACGGACGACGACGACGTGCGACGACGGCGACGGACGACGACAGACGACGACGACGACGAGAACGACGACGACTACGACCACGACAACGGGCGACGACGACGGACGACGACGACGGACGAGGGCGAGGACGAGGAAGGTGGGAGGGAATAGAAGGACCGATCCGCGAGGACTTCGGCGCAAGCCGCCCCGAGCCCATGTCGGCACAATCCTCGCGCGTTTCGTGGCCCTATGCGAAAGCAGATGCTGCGGTGAGTGAGATAGTGAGCTTGTTCAGACGTCAACTTGAACATTATTCTGTAAGGGATCACGTTTAAATTTGACTGAACCTCAATACCATAGTGTCGACGATTTAACGTTTGACTTCTCTTGGAAGAGACAAAGCTACACAATAAACATTATCATCATGATCATCGAAAAGGAATTATTTTATAACTTAGGATACAAAAAAACAACTTACAAGGTATTGAGGGCATGGCCCCGGGGCCCGAAACTGGCTGAAAACGCCACGAGTGAAACAATAGAACGCGCGAATCTCAGGGGAACAACCTCAGGACGTCCGTTTCCATCATGCCCCGCTAGCGTCACGGCGGCTTCCTCCTCGCGGGCCCGGCGGGCGCCGGATCGGACGGCGGCGCGTCGGTGTCGAGGCCCGCGGGCGGGACCAGCAGCAAGCCCTCGTGTGGAGACAACAAAAATACCAATAGTGCGAATCGCCGATCCTCTCACGTAGCTTCGTCTCTATCAGGAAGGTGTCCCAAATACTCAATGTGCGAACTACCTGGTGACTACTCAATCCTTTCTCATCGCAAGCCGAGATACATATACATACATGTGTAAATAAGTATAACTGTACATGTAGATCTGTAAATATGCGATTATGTGGGACCGCTCACTACAAATATGTTGACGGACCCTCCATGCATGTAAACTACCACGAGTACGCATGAACATGCAGGAATAGCAGGATGGGAACGGAGACAGAAGCGTGCGGAAGAGGGAGAAGCTTCTAGGAGGGACACACATGTTCAGCAGCAACAACAACAGCGCCGAGCGCATTGTTGTACCACTCCACTCCGCTGGACCTGCCAGCAGCCCACGAACGTGGCGACCATTTCACACTTCGCATCTCCCCAGGGGAGCCGCAAGGTCCCAACGGGGTCTGCGTACCACGACACTCCGCTGGACCTCCCAGCAGCCCACGAAAGTGGCGACAATTTTGCACACTTCTCAGCTCGCCAAGAGGGAGCCGCGAGGTCCCAACGGGATCTGCGTACCACTCCACTCCGCTGGACCTCCCAGCAGCCCACTAAAGTGGCGACAGTTGCGCACTTCGCAGCCCCCAAGAGAAGCCACGAGGTTCCAACGGGATCTGCGTAACACTCCACCCAAGTGGACCTTCCAGGAGCCCACGAACGTGGCGACAATTACGCACTTCGCAACCCCCCCCGGGAAGCCGCGAAGTGCCAACGGGGACTGCGTACCACTTCAGTCCGCTGGACCTCCCAGGGGCCGCCGAAAGTTGCGACGGTTGCGTACAGGGGAGCCGCGAGGTCCCAACGGGGTCTGCGTACCACTCCAATCCGCTGGACCTCCCAGCAGCCCACGAACGTGGCGACAATTACGTACAGGGGAGCAACAAAGTCCCTACGGGGTCTGCGTGCCACTCTACTCCGCTGGACCTCCCAGGAGCCCACGAAAGTGGCGACAATTTTGCACACTTCGCAGCCCCTCAGGTGAGCCGCCAGGTCGCAAAGGGTCTCCGTACCACGACACTCCGCTGGACCCAGCAGCCCACGAACGTGGCGATTTGCACACCTCGCAGCCCCACGGAAGCCGCGAGGTCCCAACGGGGTCTGCGAACCACTCCACTCCGCTGGACCTCCCAGCAGCCAACGAAAGTGGCGACAATTTTGCACTTCGCAGCTCCCCACGGGAGCCACGAGGTCCCAGCGGGATCTGCGTACCGCTCGAATCTGCTGGACCTCTCAAGAGCACACGAAAATGGCGACCATGGCACACTTCGCAGCCCACGAGGTCCCAACGGGATCTGCGTACCACTCCACCCAGCTGGACCTTCCAGGAGCTCACGGAAATGACGACAACTGCACACTTCGCAGCCCCCCGGGGAGCTGCGAGGTCCCAACGGGGACTGCGTACCACTCCACTCCACTCCGCTGGACCTCCCAGCAGCCCACGAAAGTGGCGACAGTTGCACAAGGGAGTCGCGAGATCCCAACGGGGTCTGCGTACCACTCCACTCCGTTGGACCTCCCAGGAGCCTACGAAAGTGGCGACAGTTGCATACTTCGCAGCTCCCCACGGGAGCCCCGAAGTCCCAACGGGTTCTGCGTACCACTCCACTCCCCGGGACCTCCCAGGCGCCCGCGGAAGTGGCGACAACTGCGCACTTCGCATCCCCGCAGCGAGCCGCGTGGTCTCGACGTGGCGTTTGTGACTACAGACTCCGCTGGACCTCCCAGGAGCCCACGAAAGCGGCGACAGAGAGAGCCCCGCACGAAAGTGGCCAGGCGGCGCAAGCAGGACGAAGGAGAGAAGGGAGGAGGAAGAGAAGGAAGAGGACAGGAGGGAGGGGAGGAAGGAATTTGGAGAGACCCGAAAACGATGGACCCAACACAGGAGGATTGCGTAATCGTTCCTCCGTTCTCGGCCTCGAGAGGCCCTCGCCAGGCCAGCACCGTCAAAAACGGCTGAGGATGACAAGCTGGTCCCTGGGAGTGGGTTGAGTCTTCTGGGGCAGTGGCCGAAACTGTGACCGAGCATCTTCCTGAAACTCTTCCCAGATGTGACCGGGACCAACGCCCGACTTGTTGCGAACACTCCCGGGCATGACCGATGTTCCTGAAACGGTGCTTGCACTTAGGGGTCCTCACAAGTGCTCAAGGAAACCAAGGGCTCCTAAGTTCGCGCTTCGCGCTGCGCGAAGCGCGAAGCGCGAATAACTTCGCGCTCTCGCGCCGCCCCCCAAGGGGGAGAAGAGGAGGACGAGGAGGAGGGGGAGGAGGAAGGAGGACGGCGAAGCGCGAAGCGCGAATAACTTCGCGCCCTCCTGGGAGCCCTTGAGAAACTGGCCCTGAAGGTCGGTCTCGCTGCTGTGTAGTCGCCGTTGCCGCCCCGTCGCCGCCCGTGGTCTGGGCCTGGACGTCGGTCTGGCGGCCATGTTGTCGCCGTCGCCGCCCCGTCGCCGCCGTCGCCGCTCGTCGCGGCCGTTCGATTGCGCCACATAGTTTGCGTCGCGTTGCTTGGCGTTGTTTCGCGTTGCGTTGCGTTGCGTCGTTTTGCGTTGGTTTGTTTTGTTTTGCATTGCATTGTATTGCCGTGCGTCGATTCTCTTCGAAGAAAGAATTTGGATCCCCCCGAATTTATCGGTACACCTTTTTGTGTTTCAAATTACATATGATTCTGCCCCACCGCTCATCCGAAATATGAACTCATACCATCCCAACCCTGCCGGGTTTTACCGCCCCCACCATTTTCGGCAAACAGATAAATGCGCGCGCTCGTTTATAAAAAACACGAGTTCCCAACAATCCCTTGCAAAACGTGTGACGATGTGCACACGCGCGCGCCGTCGCGCGCGCATGCCGAAATCCTTCAAACCTTTGGTTTCGGAGGGATTCCAGCATCGAGCGCCAAAACATATACAACAGACATGGGTTCGCAACACCGATTTTCAAACAAAAACGTGCGCCCTTTTTTCACTCATTTTTTAACACAAAAAACATGGCGTGTTTTGAACATGTTCAGCAAATGCTACCACACGGGTTTCGCCCGCGCGCATGTTGAAATCGTTCGAACGCCCTTGCGCGCATGCCGCCGCGAGAACCCGATGCAAAAAAACGAAATGCACACGCGCGCGCCTGCCGAAACCTTTCAATAAAACATTCGTTGTCGGAAGGATGTCAACATCGAGAGCCCGCCCCCCAAAAAAATATATTTCGTATAACAAACATGGTTTCGCAACACGGACTTCCACCAAAAAATGCGCGCGCGCTTTTTCGAATTGTGGAGATAGCCATACATTGTTTCAACCTGTACATGGCATGCTACCAAGTGGGTTTCGTGCGCGCGCATGTCGAAATCGTTCGAGCACCCTTGCGCGCATGCCGTCGCGAAAATCCTGTCCGGAAAATGAAACGAAGTGCACGCGCGCGCGTCGCCGCGCGCGCCTGCCGAAATCCTTCAAACACCGTCGGTTTCGTAGCGAATTCAAAACAGAACGTCCAAGACACATTCAAAAACGCAGTTTCGCAGCATCAGTTTCCCGCCATCAAGAAAAAAAACGCGCGCTTTTGCAAATTCTTACCATAAGCCATTCAATATTTGTCTTGGTTCTACCAAATTCTGCCCAACGGGCCTCTGGCGCTGCACGCCGACATCATTCGCGCGCCCTTGCGCGCGCTGGGGGGGGGGGGGAGGGGGTAGGGGTGCGATCCGTGTCAGATAATTTCATGCGGGCCACTCTCGCGCGTCGGCCGCGCGCGCATGTCGAATACCTTCCAAAACCTTCATCACCGACGCGAGGGCGCCGTCATAGTCGCGGGCGCGATCGGCATCGGCGCCCGCACTGGCCACGCTTCTGTCGGCGCGAACACCGTCATCAGCGCCGCTGTTTATAATCATCGCGTCTACCGCTGTCCGTTGTCGGCGTTGCCATAATACCGCGCCCGCCCTAGTCGCCGACTCGCAGAAAAGTACCCGCTGGGATGCGCCCTGCGGTCAGCGCCACCGCGGCCGCGTCGGCGGCGCTGAACTAGCTGGCCGCTGCGCGCGCGTGCCAGGGTTGGAGCGGCCGCAGAAATGCACCAGCCAACGCCAAACATGCATCGCAATCGCCACCGCATGGGCATTGCAGGCCAAATTGCGGGTGGGCGGGTGGGATGCTCGCAAGAGCATGGGATGTGTCAGCACGTTGGTTAAAATTAGCTCACCGTTCTGAAAAAATCAAGTCCACCACCGCCACCACCACCCCATCCCGGCTTGAACGGTGCACCTTTTTGTGTTGCAATGCATATGTGAGTCTGCCCCATCGTGCGTCCTACATATGAATGAACAGCACCCCAGCCCAGCCCGTTTCGAGCCCCGCCGTCATCCTTTTCCAAAAGTGACTACGCGCGCGCACTCGTTTATCAAGAACCAAAAAATCACATAATCCCTTGTGCAAAACATGTGACGAAATGCACGCACGCGCGTCGTCGCGCGCGCATGCCGGGATCCATCAAAAAACCTTCGGTTTCGGATAGGCTTCGAAATCGAATGTCAATATACACACATCTCACTCACTCACCAAAATGTCCAAAGGTCCAAACATCAGGTATTAGTTGAAATACGCTGAGACCCTAGACGGCGCTCGCCACTTTGGCGTCTCATTTAGGCACCGCGCAGCTCATGACTGTGAGCAGTGCGGCACGGAAGCGGCGCACACACAGACCAGCTCACCGAGGGTGGCGACCCCGACCCCGAGCTTTCCCCTGGGGCCCTCGGCTTCGCCCCCCTCCCCGAGCGGTGAGTAGGTTGGTGCGCGCTTCTGGGGGGGAGCGAGAGGGGTGAGAGGGCGGCATGGGGGCACGAGCAGAGGAAGTACGAGCGGGCGCAGGAGTAGGGGGTCTACTCGGGGGGGTCTGAGACCTGGGACCCCGAACATCAGAAACAACTG